CACAAGTCCATGAAAAGTCAGGGAAAAATAAATCATAATGTTTCATGACTTTAACAGCCCATCTATGGCAGTTTATATGTGTGTATGTGTTTGTATGTATGAAGTTTACAGATCAGTCTTAGACGTCATCTTCTTTTACTCTCCATTTTTGTGACACAGGTTCTCTCGATGAACCTGGAGCTCACCTATTCAGCAAGGGGGGCCAGCAAGCCTCAAGGAACTTCCGGTGTCTGCCAGGGATTACAGGCATACCTTGCCATGCCCAACTCTTTACGTGGGTGCTGGGAACTCAAACTCTGGTCCTCATATTTGCCCAAGGATTTTAACTGACTGGGTTGTCTCCCCGTCCTCTATGGTAGTTTTCTCATACTGTGTGGCTGAATAATCCCTGCCAGTCTCTCTATATGACAACTCTGCAAGGCCACTGTAGACAGGACAGATAATTTAGTCCTCCGGAGTAGTTGGTTGAAGTGAGCTTTCTTAGATTCATTGTTTAGAAGAATTCCTTTCACTTTCACAAACTGCTTTGGATAATGTGTTCTGAAGAGTTTAAACTTTAGAAAGCCTGATCAAGTTTCTTTCATATTTGATTTGGACCCTAGGAAATTCAGAACATTTGCTCTTCTTGTGTTGTAAACTCATTTTGAATACCTTTGAATTGAATTATATGAGACTGGAAAGATGGTTCAGTGGTTAAGAGCACCAGCTGCTCTTCCAGAAGGCCTGGGGTTCAATTCCCAACACTCACATGGTGGATCTGACACCCTCATCTGGCCTCCACAGGCACCAGGCACAGGCAGAAAAGTATCCAGACAAATAAAATAAAATTAAAATAATGGTCACATAGGTCCATAGTTCTCCCTCAGTGTGTTAAAAATGATAACTTTGTGCACCTTTCCCAGGTAAAGCTACTCACTGGCTTCTCCCATCTTTTCTCCAAGTGCACAGTGACTTGTGGCCGAGGGCTGCGTTACCGGGTGGTTCTGTGTATCAACCATCGTGGGCAGCACGTCGGGGGCTGCAACCCACAGATGAAGCTGCACATCAAGGAGGAGTGTGTCATCCCCATCCCATGCTATAAGCCTAAAGGTAAACGTGAGGTGTGCTGTAGTTGAAATCAAGTCGGGTTTTCCAGCTCTCATTCAGTAACTAGGGAACTTCCATTCCCACTTCTGTTATGAGGATGGTTTGTTGTCAGTTTACAAGAGATCCAGCTAAGGAAGTTGGAATATGTGATTTATGATCTGGAAGGGAAACTGGATTATTGTGAATATAGTTCACACAGTTTAGTTCTCATCTGTCTAGGTTTGGGCTCACATTTCATGGTAGACATGAAATTTTTCCGAATGCAGTTCCCACCATCAAGAGTTGGCTCAGCAGGTATAGGTGCTAGCCAACCCTGACAACCTGGTTCATTCTTTGGAACCCAAGTGGTAGAAGTAGAGAACCATGACTTCTAAAAAAAAAAAAGGAAATGAAAAAAGATTGTTCTCACCTCTTTGTAAAGACTTTTCCTTAGTACTTCAGAAAGAATAGCAAAATTCTTCCCCAGGGAGGGACCCAGGCCCAGCACAGGAAGATTTGGTGGACTTGGAGGAGCCCCGGTTGGGGGCCCTAGCCTGCCTGGGGAGTGGTGGGTGGGGAGGGGCGGGGGGTGGTTGGGGGGTGGGGGGCGGGAGAGGGAGAGGGAGAGGGAGAGGGGAAGTACATGTGAAACAAGCCTGTTCCCTAACTTGAATTAATAATAATAAAAAGAGAGAAAAAAAATTCTTCCCCAGGGATTCTCAGTTCCCTCTTTATACAGATAGTCCCACAGTTCATCAGTCTACATATGTCTGACTGAGCCCATCATATAAAAAAATCAGTAGTTACCATGGCAAGCATATAGTCATTATACGTTCTTGTCTTGAAGCCTTTTCTTATTACCTCTGTTGTCAACAGGGCTTTCTCAGTGTCTCTACTCTCCCTGAAGTGTCTGCAAATTCTTCCCTTCATAACTGGCTTAGCCTCTTCTCCTGTCATGGAAGCCTTAAAGGACAGAAGGGCAGAGCAACTGTCCCTTCCATGCCTATGTAGATGGTTTTCATTTCCCATGGTAACAATGGAATTTGAGTAAGCCACACACAGACTCTCATCTTTCCACTTCATTGGCCTCTTGATATTTGCTTTTCTCTATTAATTTATTAATTCAAGAGACAAGAAGAATTTGTGGCAAAAGGAAGAATCTGGTATTGTTGGAATGAGAGCTTCCATATTAAAAGAGCAGAAAGGGGTGTTGAGTTATATAAGGCATTTATATGTTTAACTTTTGGATGTTTAACCACATTCAACTATATAACAAGGATCACTTTGACTGCATTTATAATAGGTTAATTAAAAATAGCAGGAATTTTATTCATTCCAGAAGCAAATGTACTGTGCATTTGAAAAGTATAACCCCAATGTTAATGAACTCTCCAGTCAATAATAGACATGTATCAAAGTCCTTAATGATTGACATTAATTAAGTTCATTGTTTACTTTCTTTTTTTTCTCAGAAAAAAGTCCAGTGGAAGCGAAATTACCTTGGCTGAAACAAGCCCAAGAGCTAGAAGAGACCAGAATAGCCACAGAAGAACCAAAGTGAGTCGAGGGCCTTTTATGGACATAATCAGGGCAGAGCCAGTTTACATGATATATGTCATTTTTGTACTCATTGGAATTCAATGATACATTTAGTATCCAAATGACCTGGATTTACGGACTCCAGAGAGCCTGAACTGGCTAGGAATTCTCTTTATTTCACAATTCAGCAGTCCTGCTTTGGCAGTGTGTGTGAGAAGCACAGAAAAGATTGTGTTCTCTAACTCAAAGCAGACCCTTGCACTCTTGCAGGGACGAGTGGGGATAGTTCTTGGATGTGTACATGTGGTTTAACCGAAGACCATCCTAGAATTGTACAAATAAACCAATAATCCTGAGCCGAAATCATGGCCAATATCTGTAAAACTAATGATGGTGAAACACACCAGGGTGGCCTGAGAAGAAGTCCCAGGGCTGCTGGGACACAGAGAAACAGAAAGAATGTGGTACTGTGTGGACTAGAGCTAGGAACTGCCACTATGAGTCATGTGACCTCACTGTTCAGTGTTGGTGGCTCATTCTTTGTATATAGGGGCAGGTTGGGCCTGACTCTCCAGGGTCCATTCTAATTCAGAAATCAGCAGCTACTGTCTGCATGCCATGTGTGGAGGCCAGCTTTTAAGGGTGTCAACAGACTTGCAGAATCAAGAATAAGTCAAAGAAGCATTCTTGAGACAGAGAGAACCAAAGAAGGCAGCATATAGACTGAGATGTCTAGCCCAGGAGTCCATCAGAACAGCAGCACCCGTGATAGACTGGAGTAATTGGACAGGACAGCTGATCCCACAGTGGGCAGTTGAGTCTGGAGTGCTGACAAGCTAGCTGCAAAGAAAGCAATTCACAGATGGGACAGGAAAGAGGATCTCAACAGCCATCTGGCTCATTTCCCCGAGATGTCAACTCCAACCTGCTTCTTTTACAAATAAAGAGAATCAAATAGAGAGGCAAAGCCTTGTGCAAGACTGGTAGATCATAATGGTGGTTCTCATAGAACCACAGCCTGTTTCCCTTTCCACAGCATGGGATTCTCCTTTATAACCACTCAATGCCTGCAGCAGTGGGCAGAGGTCACTACATTGAGATAGAGCTCATTGTAGTTAAACAATACAAGTGCTTTGTTGTAGCTCGAGTTGCTTCTAGCTCCATCTGAACTCCCACACTTGAACAGATAATGTTATCCTCTTGATCCAAAATATAGCTCCTTCTAAAGTCCGTTTTTTTTGAAACAGACATCCCAATGCTATATATCCCTTGCTTTCCTAACTCGGGAGAAACCTGTCACAGTTCCTAAGAACTTGTCTTTTCTAAGTCCATCATTCTTAGCGACTCAGCACTTTTCATATGCTGTAGTTTTCAGGTCTCTTACCAACCTGTTCTTCTCATCTGTGTGCTCTCATTTGTCACTGTGCCTCAGGAGCATTATCCAGCCTAGCAGGGAACCCCAGAGGGGTGTGGATGACTTAGCTCCCTTTAGTGACAGGCCAAGTTCAGTCTTGGTCCGATGTAAGACTGACTACAACCACAGATGGAACTGTGGAAGCTGCAGGTGAATGGCCCCAGGTTTGCAGAATGCTGGCATGGGAACCTCAGCCACACTGACCTACATACAGCAGGCTGGCACTGCCCTCCACCCCTTTCTCAGCCTTCCCTCGCTGTCAGACTTACCCTCCCTTTGAATCTTTTCTGAAAGTGTTTTAATTATAGAGAATTCCAAACCTATATGGAAGGGCAGCACAGTGAACAAAGAAGCCCCAGGTGTCCACAGTGAGCCCCTCAAGGCCACACTTGCCTCCTCAGTACTGCACCTGCACCATCCCACTGACCAAACACAGTGGGTCCTATCAGAGCACTTTTGCATCATTCAGTGTTTCTGAAAGGGAAACAAGCTTTAAAAGACTGGTGCATTAAAATATGGTCCTTAGATCAACTCCAATCAAGCTCATTTGGGCTATTTTTTAAGGTGTAATGAAGTGGAGCCTGGTGGCTCACATCTATAATTGCAACACTCAGGAAGCTGAAACAGGAGAATTGCCATGAGTTTGAGAGCAGCCTTGCTACATAGTGAGTTCCAAGGCTGTTCTGAGCGAACATGTGAGACCCTTTTTCAAAAATCTAAAAACAAACAAAAGTTGTAATAAACTCTGGGCCAGACATGTTGGAAATGGGGTATCACCATTTTTTTTCAGCAGTAATGCATTTCTCCTCTTCCTATGGTTTTACATTCAAACACAAGGTTTGGCACTTTAACTGTTTGAAAGCATACAGTCCAGCATCACTGAGAGCACTCACACAGTGTCTGACCTGTCCAAAGTGTTTTCATCATTCTCAACATGAACTCTGTGCCTATTGAACAGTCCCTGTTACCTACCCACTCCCAGACTCTGATCATTTCTATTCTACATTTTGTTTATGAATTCAGTCAAGAGTCTCTTGTTGCTTTGGCTGGCTTTGAACTCATGACTCTCTGCTTTCCAAGTGCTGCCCTAGTTGGCATCAACTGAATTTTTAGCAAGCACTCCAGGCTCCTCCAAGGGGGTAGGGAGGAGTGTGTGCTGGTTAGGTTTTTTGTCAACTGGATACAAGTTAGAGTCATCAATTAAAAAAATGCCCCCATCAAATTGGTGTGTCAGCAAGCTTATGTGTCATTTTCTTGATTAATAATTGATGTGGGGGGCAGTACTAATCCTTCATGGTGGTCCAGGCTTGTATAAAAACACAAGTTCAGCAAGATATAGGAAATAAGCCAGTAGGCAGCATTCCTTCATGGTCTTTGCTTCAATTTCTGCCTCTGGGTTCCTACCCTAATTGGGTTCCTTTTTTGTTGCTTAGTGTAAACCCTTTCCTTCCCAAGTTGCATTTGGCCATGGCATGTTAACAAATCAATAGAAAACAAAGGGTTGGCTGTGAATACAAATTTTGGAACTAACAGGACAGGTAGTCCCTCAGGTCCCTTCAAAGTTCAGAAAAAACTGTTCATTTTAATGAATTAGTAGACAGCAATAATGGATACACTGTAGCTATAGTGGGCTCCTCCATGTCTGCTCCAAGCCTGCATTTCTGCCAGCACCACCTGACTTAGATAGGGGCTCCTCTTTCCTTGCCCACAAAGCAAAGCTGATGTGCTCTTTCTTTGCTTCTGAAGGGACTTCATGTTCTCCTCGCTTTGTAGAACCCGGAGCTGCCTGCACCTGTTGCCTGGCCTCTACCCACCCCTGCCTTTTCCCTCTCTGAGGTCTCTATGCAGTCCTCCTGTATTTTCTCATTGCCTGGCATTTGCTGGCCTGCTCTTGGCTGGCTGGTGTGAAGTTTTTAGTTTCCTGCCACTTCTGATTCTATTCATTGCCTTCATTTCTAAACAAAACCACAACATATTTCAGCTTCCAGCTCACCCTTTTATGGCAACTGTCTTTTGTGGTCTGGGATGCTTGCTTGTTGACAATAAAGGAGAGGATGATCCCAGCTGTATTTCACTTCCCTCGAGGAAAGCTTGCCAAGCCAGCAGGGAAAAGATAAATACTCCCACCACTGTGGTTCACCAAGGCTGAGCTCTGAATTTACATAGAGAGTGGGTGTTCAAAAGACTTTTGTTTTAATTAGGAAAATTAAAAAAAATAAAGTTTATAAAGTGAAGCCAAGGGAACTGCTGTTCTGACCTTCCTGGCTGTCAGCTGTGGAATGTGTTCTCAGTCAAGATTGTTGTTGCTTTGTCATTTGTCGTCACACTTTTAAATTCCTCCCTGGAGCCTTCTGTACTTCTATGGGATTCCCAGCATTTCAATGGTTTTGTTACCCTATCTCCTATTTTTCATATATGAAAACTAGAGAAACACGACAGAGACATTACGTGTTTTCTTCACTGCTGTTTTGGCTTTGCTGCGAGTGGAGATTATATTTGCTAAAGCCAAGTCAGGCTGTGTTTCAGGAATCTGTTTTTCTAACCATGGCTAACATAGAGGGATTCTTTCGGGGAAGATCACATTCTAAATATGTTGTGGGGATCATAGTCATTTAATGCGCAGTGTTGGAGGTGTTATGATTGCCTTCATTTGGGGGCTGTGTAAGCCAAGGTGCTGAAAGACTAAGGACTGGCCTTGTCCAGAGCTAGTCAGTGATGGACAGAGAGAGATTTGATGGACTGTCCCAGCACCTGAGCAACTCTAGTCCATATGCACAAATTACAAAATAACCCAAACTCTGGGAATGTATAAGCACCAACATGATAACCGATGACCTACGATGGGCTGCAGTCAAAATCAGATACACTTAAAACTACATATTACCTTCAGGTTTCATGCATTAAATATCTAGGATACCAGGGAATTCTGTGTTCCTATCCTCGGGATAGGAACATTTTATAATGTGTATGCAGATATTCTGAAACTTAAAAAATATTCAAAATCTAAGGAACTCTTGGGGCCAAGCATTTTGTGTAGGGAGACTCAGCCTGTACTAGGGAAGGGGCTTCTGTTTGCAGTCAGGTGACAGAAATTCAGGTTTATTCCATCCTAAGTTACACTGCTGGATTCTAGTATCACAATGAATTGTGGTGTCATTGTGCTTTTGTCTTAGTTAGGCTTTCCGTTGCTGTGAAGAAAAACCACGAGCACAGCAACTCTTATAAAGGAAAAAGTTTAATTGGGGTGGCTCACTTCCGATTTCAGAGATTCAGTCCATTATTATCGTGGTGGGGCATGGCGCCATGCAGGCAGACATGGTGCTAGCTACATCTTGATAAAAAGGCAACAGGAAGTGGTCTGAAACCCTGGGTGTGGCTTGGGCCTATATGAGACCTCAAAGCCTGCCCCCCCCCATAGTGACACACTTCCTCCAACAAGGCCATACCCACTTCAACAAAAAAGCCACACCTCCTAATAGTGCCTCCTAATAGTGCTACTCACTATGAGTTTATGGGGTCCAATTACATTCAAACTACCACAGTGTTATAAGAAAGCCACACCTCCTAATAGTGCCTCCTAATAGTGCTACTCCCTATGAGTTTA